CTATCATATATTAATAAAAATTTCAAAGTGTTCAACTATGATCTACATCTAATTTAAGAAACTGTCTAATTGATTAGCTTTTAGTAAGAATAAGCTATGCATTACTTTATGTATAAGATGAATGTCCCTGCTTATGTCAACAATAACCGGGATGTGATGGAATCATTTTTATTTTCAATGTGAGCTGTACCAGAAAAAAATCATGTTATGAAGGACTGTTGCAATTTTCACACTGTTACATCAAAACTAAGCTCCCAAAGCAAACCTAAGTGGACCATTAATTTGCTATAGACTAAGAAATAAAAAAGATAATGCAGTTCATCTTTTACAAGGAAACATTTGATTGAATTGATTATTGAATAATCTCCATAAATTAATATTAGATTTTTAAAACATAATTTTATTTCTTAGTTACCACTTGTTTTTTTAACTCTTTTGCAATAAAGAGTTTAAGTTTATACGTTCTGTTATCATACAAATCTCTATTTTTTAGAACACAACTTTTAGAGAATTTTGTTCAAGCAAAAATTAATGTGATGTATAAAATATTTATACTTCATTATTTGTATACATACAATCAGACATAAAATCTTCCATACGTCTTTTCAAATAATAACTTTTTTCAAGTTGGTTCAAACTACTTAACTTAATATTAATGCAGTAATGCCGAATGCCTGCAGTGTATTTCTGCATCAGTCAATTTTGATAAAGTGTTCAGAACGCATATAAGATTCAGAGATCTATAAAATGCATTATTTCATTATGCACTACATTAACGCATTACAGGCTCAAATAAAAAGTTAAAAAACATAGTTCTTGAACTTCTTTTGTCAAGGTTATATTGTCATTCTAACCATTCGTAATTTTTATAAAAATGTTCTTAGACATTATCCAGTAAACTAGCTCTTCTAACATTTAACAAAAATTCTAGTCGTTTGAACCAATCTGGAGAAAGTTACTCTGTTTTAAGAGGTGTACAGACACTTTTTTTATTAACTGTATGTCAGTGTTAAAAGATATATACAATTTTTAAACTTTATTAGTTCTAAAATAACTTTTATTCCTATGAGATGCTTTGTGTATTATTGTGAACATGCAATGGATTACTTTATTTAACACTAACCATACCATCGTTGATCAAATGACTGGTTCAATAGATTTTATTCTATGAATATTGTAATTATAAAGACATTTCTACTAGAAACATATGTATATTGATATAAAAATTGCAAAAATCTAAGTAAATTCAATCTCGTAATTTTTATAAGGCAGTACATATTAGTCACCTTCAGTGCTCGATATGGTTAGTATCAAAATCAACAATTCACAGTTTTAAGACAAAGTTAAAAATATTTATTGGATATACCAAATATAATTAAATGTCATTCAATTCATGTTTGTATGAATGACACAGTTAAGTATAAAATACACATTTGGATTAAGAAAAACATTTTTATTTTCGTAGACAAATATACATCACAATTTGGCTCAGGCAGTCAATATGCATACTACCATGATGAAGATGAGACGACATTCCATTTGGTTGATACAACTCGTGTACAAAAACCACCATATCAGCGTGGTGGACGGTTCCGACACAATCAAAGGAATTTGCGTGGTCGTGGCGGACAACGAGGTGCCTTGAGTCAGATGCAACAACTTAGTAAACTGAAACTCCGTGAACGAGAACGTAAAGGCCAAACGAAACGATGGGGTAGACAGCAAGGATTACGTAATCATAAGAATCAACCCCCAATTAAAATTCGTGATGCATCTGTCACAGTAAGACCAGACTGGGTAACTATTGAAGAAATGGACTTCCCTCGCTTAGCAAAATTATCTTTACCTGGTGTAAAGGATGGTGAAGATATTTCATGTTGTGGCTCCCTCGAGTATTATGACAAAACTTATGATAGAGTAAATGTTAAAAGCGAAAAGCCATTGCAAAGAATTGATAGAATTTTCCATAAAGTTACAACTACTGATGATCCAGTTATTCGGAAACTCTCAAAAACAGAGGGAAACGTTTATGCTACAGATGCAATTTTAGCAACAATCATGTGCTGTACTCGAAGCAACTACTCTTGGGATATTGTGATTGAAAAGATTGGAGATAAACTATTTTTTGACAAGCGCGACAGTACTGAATTTGATTTACTGACTGTAAACGAAACCAGTGTTGAGCCTCCCCAAGATGATGGAAATTCTTTAAATTCTCCTAGGAATCTAGCATTAGAGGCCACATTTATCAATCATAATTTCTCACAGCAAGTATTGAAGTCCAGTGAACCTCGATATAAATTCGATGAAGGAAATCCATTTATTTCGGAAGAGGAGGAGGGGGATGTTGCAAGTGTTGCATACCGATACAGGAAATGGGATTTAAATAATGGAATTGTTCTCATTTCAAGATGCGAACATGATGCGGTTATGCAAGGACCTAATAATGAAACTCAGTTCTTAACTATTAAAGCATTGAATGAATGGGATTCAAAGTTAGCCAATGGCGTAGAATGGAGACAAAAGTTGGACACTCAGCGTGGTGCAGTTCTGGCAAATGAGTTGCGTAATAATGCATGTAAGTTAGCAAAGTGGACTGTCCAAGCATTATTAGCTGGTTCCGATCAACTGAAGTTTGGATACGTGTCAAGAGCAATGGTTAGAGATTCCAGTAAACATGTTATCCTTGGTACACAGCAGTATAAGCCAAATGAATTTGCAACACAAATCAATCTTAATATGGACAATGCTTGGGGTATTTTGAGATGTATTATTGACATTTGTATGAAGCAAAAGGATGGAAAATATCTTATTATGAAAGATCCTAATAAACCTATGATAAGATTATATGATATACCAGATAATACATTTGATAGTGAAGGAGAAGAAGACGAAGATGACGATGAACCTGTTAACGATGCTTTTCAAAGTTAACAGACAAGTCAAGTTTTTGTCAAAGCTCCTACCAGTTATTGTCTTGAAACTTATTAATTTGTACCATGAGCACATTCTGTAAGAAGCAAAAATGTGGACAAATAAACAACTTATAATAGAACGTGTTACAATTTTGTTTCTAAAACTGTTAAAATATTTTACAAAATTATGTTTTATAAAGGTTTATATTAAAAAAACATTTCATTTTGAGTTAATATTTCTCTTTCAATTACCGCAGTTTAGCATATACATATGTACTTTACAGCGAAAATCGGGCTTTTAAAATGATTAATCTACAAGATCGTGTTTTGTTTTATAAACTTTTTTATAATAATAAACTACGGATCTAGTCGGAACTTTAGACGAAGATATTGTAATTACTGAAATTGAGAGAGAGTGAACAATGAAATGTACACTGATATTTACTGGTAGAAAACAATATCTTTATTTGGCGGAAGGTAAGGAAATTCTTTATTCAATATATCTTTAGCAAAACGAGAAATTTTGAAATTCCGAATAGAAAACTAGGGTTTCCTCATAAATATCTCTGGATTTTACGGTTAGGCTTCGTCTTGAGGTCAAGCACCAAGACATTCGGTACGTAACTATTTTTATTTGCAAGACGATTCTGAGAACATTGTGTATATTTAATTACATAGGTATGTAGTTACGTATTGATAATCCAATACGTCCCCTTAAAAATAAAGCAACTGCTCTTAGGTAAAATTAATAAACTCAACATATGTTATACACATAATACCAATCTACATACAGGGTGTCCCAAAAATGTCTCGCAATACGGAAATGTGGGATAGCTAAGGTCATTCTAAGTAACTTTTTCCTTTGCGAAAATGCAATCTGCGACTTTGTTATTAACGAAAAACACTGGCCAATGAGAGGTGACGGCGCGAAGTTCGAGGCATACTGTCGGGGGAACCTCTGGTATGGTTATTTACGAAGTTCACTTACACTGCACTATCACCAAACACTGATCACTTAATTAATTACTGATAATCCGAATCACTTGTGGATATCACGAAAGATCACTGAGATAAAGTGGATATCACGAAAGATCACGCGGGTAATCATTTATTCGACGCGTTCGTTCGGGAGTCGACGTTTCACTGCCGAAAAATTCAGGCCTCGACCGCGGGTCCTTGTTCGTCGTTCGGTCGTCCGAGGAAATGACACCCGATACCATTTTCTTCGAACGGCCATTAATTACGTTCTAAGAGCGTAGGGTTATATTCGAGTCATTTACTCCAGTTCTAAAAAAGTTATTGTGTTTGAAAATATGTCCGAACATTAATGGTGACTACCATTAACTTTTCTGGAAGTTCCAAATTATTCCGATTGTTCAGATTGTCGCAACAGAATAATCAGAATAAGACGTTTCGAATATTCTACACCAGATGTTTTTAAAATGTCTTAAAGACATATTTATGCCATCTTGGTTGGTGCCTGCTTGTTCATACTTTTCATGGACACCCTGTCTGTAGGTATGAAATGCAGATAAATATAGAAATCTGCTATAGTTGTACTTTACTCGCATTGACTGCAAAGATCGTCAAATATAATTCTATAAATCTAAAACTAAGAAACAATTGCTACTATTAAAGAAGCTGGTCAAGATACATCAAAAAATTAAAAGTTATATTGTACTTACTTAACTAAAACATAATAATAATAATTATTTGCTGAAAGAAGCACGTCAGTTTAAATAATTTATTAATACAAAATATTACATCCTATCGGATCTACCACGCGTCGAACTTGTCGAACCTGACCGAGCTTGTACGTGAGATGCAACTATTCTCATCTGTGCGGGAACTGGAATTGCCCTCCGTACTGTCGCCTTCGGTTCTACAACAGCTGTCACAGGAAAACGTTCTCTCCTTCTCCGCATTGTGCACTGCTTATAGTGTCTTGCGGTTCGTCTCAGGACAGGATCATCCTTGCAGACACTTAGCCACTTACTTGACACTCTAGCAGTGCAAAGCAGAGATCGAGAATCCGCCATGCGTAGGATCAACCTCGACACCTCCGGCGGAAGTTCGGAAATAAAATCCACCTTGGTAGGGTCCAGCACTCCGATCACATCAAGGAAAGTCTTAAAGTTCTCCATGCTGCTAATGTAGATACAAGGCGTCAAATGAACTATTTGTCAAATTTTGTGGTATATATAGCCGTGGTCACGCTTTACGCTTCGGTGACCGTTCCGCAACAGTGACGACCAATCAGGAGCGGTTACGACTGGACATATAATTTCCTCATAATTCTATTAAGTTGTACTTAATTGAAAAGATACTTGCATTCAAGTATATTGTGAAATGAGAATGCAATTGTCGTAGGATTGATGTCACCATTGGCAAAAAGTATTCGATTCGACAGAACGGACAGCTCTCTTTATAATTATTATAATTATATAGTGTTTAATAACTATATATATAAAAAGACAATATTAATATAAAATTTAATATTTTTTCATAAGATACGAGATAAGGAAATTGCATGATATAATTTCTGATGTATGAACAAAACAGCACCCAATATTTCGTACCGTTTGCTTTATTCTTCAATAATTCTCCCAATTCTTTTCCCATTCGTCGATCAACGTAACAAACTTTAATAGTGACAGCAATAATTTCGATGTTCAAATTAAAAATATCACCCTGTACAGGCAATAATATTCTTCGTTTTTAATAATAAGTAATTTCAACAATCGCGTTTAGGATTCTGCTTGAATATTTTCTCCGAAGAGTAGTATAACATTCTGACGTATTTTCTATGTATTACTACTACCATGATACGTAGATATACAAATTCGTTACTATATTCGTGCGTATAACACTGCCCGACATGATTTTTGATTTCCTGTAGTCACTATGAAATTCTTGTAGAACTTCACTCCTCCAACAAGGATCTGAAAACCGAATTGCTCCATCACCCACAGTTTTCGAAAAAAATGAGCTCTTGTAAAAATCCAAAATTTTTGACAAAAATGAGTTATTGCATGAAAAGTGAAAATGTTAGATAGTTCTAATCGGTCTTAAAAAATAGAGGAGAGTTTCCCGAATATAGTGGCATTCAATTTATTAATTGTTTTTGGTCCTAAGTAGCAATAAATTAATGTCAAAATTTTAAAAATTTTCGACGGGCGTAGTTTCTGCGCAATGTTTTTGTACTTTTACGAAAACTAGTTTGTCCCGCACCAAAACTCTATCCAAGATCGGATTCTGTAGACACTTCTGGAGAAGAAACGGTTCGGTAAAAGTGTCGGAACGATGTACATTTCGAGTAAATCGAGAAAATGTTCGTCGGCAATATGTACACGACGTTTTGCCGCCATGTGCTTCGCTGCTCGCTTCTCTCTGTCCGACAGGGCCGAAACTATGCGTAATCAACACCGATGGTTGGTCGGTTAAGGGACAGGTATGCGCAACATAGATCCTTTGGCCCTTGTCTCTACTGTCCAAGGCTTCTCCACCTTCACAGCAGCGCTGACTGTTTTCGCTGACGGGGTTCAGTCTCACAGAGGACGCAGTTACAGTGGTAGCTGCCGACGTGTACAACCACTCCCTTCTATACACACATTTTTCCTATGCGCGCTCCTGAACGCTTCTTAAGTCGGAGTGAACGTATGGGCGGCTTCCCCTTTTCCCGGGACCCTATAGATGGGTCTTCTCATGAATGGTGGGGCCTACCTATAAACGGGAAGCCTCGGCCAAAAGCGCAGGGTACCGCCATATGAAATAAACCAGATGTGCAGAGACGTAAACTACGGCCGACCCGCTGTCACCGACGGTACCCTGCGCTCTTAGAACGTAATTAATGGCCATTCGAAGAAAATGGTATCGGGTTTCATTTCCTCGGACGACCGAACGACGAACAAGGGCCCGCGGTCGAGGTCTGAATTTTTCGGCAGTGAAATGTCGACTCCCGAACGAACGCGTCGAATAAACGATTATCCGCGAACGAGTCTCAGTGATCTTTCGTGATATCCACAAGTGATTCGGATTATCAGTGATTTGTAGCGGCCAGTCGGCGCGCATAAGAAAAGATTTATTTCTCGCGCAAACGACTAACATATTTATGACTCTCCTTCGAAAAGGCTATCTTTGAGTAAGCTGTTTCCTGTCCGGATGGCAATAAGCCAGTAGAGTTTCTTTTTTACCTGATTCTCGATAGTCAACGAGACCGTCATAAATAACGGGAAATTCCGAAGGGCACGCAAAACGGACCCGAACGCCGGACGTCCGAGCGCAACAGCCCTGAGGAAAACCCAGACCGTTACATCATAAAAAAGCACCCACTCCAATCACCACGCGGTCCCAAAACGGGACGCGCTCAGGGCGTAAGGGACAACGCGGTGAGAAGGAGATGGACAACGCTGATTGGGAAAACCCATTCGCGGGTCAACCAATCAGGGGGTGTCCAGAGCCCTTGCCGGGGGCAAACAGGATAATATAAAAAGAGCAGCAGTGAGACGCTCGC